TTGCATATTAGCCTTTTATTATATAAGATCATACAACCAGGATACTGAGATTCATATAATCTACCAATCTTGTTCAGATTTCACCAGTTTTACATGCACTCATTTGTGTGTGTGTGTGTGTGTGTGTGTGTGTGTGTGTGTATTCATCCATCTGGAGGTTTCATGTATCCACACCACAATAGACATACCTAACAGTTCCCTTACCACAAAGACCCTCAGGTTGCCCTTTTATAACCATGCCCACTTCCCTCCTGTCCTTCCACCCCCAACCCTAACCCCTGGCAACCACTAATCTGTTCTCATTTATATAATTTGATCTTTGCAAGAATGTTATATAGATGGAGTCATACAATATGGAAACTTTAGGACTGACTTTTTCACTCAGCATTATTTCCTGGAGACTCATCAAAGTTGTCACGTGTAGCTTCTTTTTATTACTGAGTCAGGTTCTACGGTATGGGAGAATCATAGTTTAACTACTCAGCCATTGGAGGCCATCTGGATTGTTTTCAGTTTTTAGTCATTATAACTGAAGCTGTAATGAACATTATGTACAGGTTTCTGTGTGAACGTAAGTTTTCATTTCTCTGGGATAAATGCCCAGGAGTACAATTGCTAGGTTGTAAGGTAGTTTTATTTTACATATTTACTTTTCCAAGGAACTGCCAACCTTTTCCAGACTGGGTGTGCCATTTTACGTTCCCACCAGCAATTCTGAGCAGCCCAGTTTCTCTACATCCTTTCTAGCATCTAATTGTCATTAGTTTTCATTTTAGTCATTTTAATAGGTATATAGTAATACCTTCTTGTGGTTTTAGAATTGCATTTCCCTAATGGCAAATGTTGTTAAATGTCTTTTCATGTGCTTCTTTGCCATGTGTATATCCTCTTCAGTGAAATGTCTCTTGGTGTCTCCTTCCCATTTCCCAATTGGACTGTTTGTGTTTTAAGTTCTGAGACTTCTTTATATACTGTAGGTACTAGTTCTTGGTTGGATACATCGTTTGCAACTTCAACTCTTTTTGAGGAATAGCAGAAAGTAGAACGAAATAATAAAAAAGTTAAATAAATAATTATTGATTTGTTTTCTTTTTATCTTCAGCTAGGGGGAAGGAGAAAAGGATGAGAAAACAGGGAAAGATGCCTCTTATAGTTTCTGGGGACATGAGTAACGGTTCCCATTTTTTCATAGCATTGTATGTATGAGCAGTAGTGGTGTAGAATGAAAACCAGAATGCCCGGTTCATTGGTCTGAGAGCCTCAATGTAAAGGTCACTCATCCGTTAAGTGCTGTTTACCTCTAACCTGGCGTAGTCAAGTCTAGTGCAAGAATAATGTCATAGAAACTGCCCCCTCAGAGACCTGTCTAGAGTCTACTTCATTTAAGCCACATCCCAAGGTAGACATATAAGGATAAGAAAAATGATGATTTGTTATTAACAGCACATTCTTTTGAAAGGATTTGAATGTTAACACATGTGTAGCCACAAACCCTTGAAACCTCACAGGATAAGGAAAAACTCATTTTGGTCCAAACAATTGCTGGAATAATCCAACACCCCCAGAAAAAAAAAGTTTTAAATTAGAAATGTGAAATGAACAATGTTTCAGACCAGGCTGGAGAATTGTGCATGAATATATATTAAAATCACTCTACTTCATTAATAAACATCATCTGTGAGCCCAAGATTAAAGTAACATGCTGGGATTATTTAAAATTTACTCAGGCTCCCATGGTATCTCCTAAAGCTCAGAAGACCCAGAACTGGAGCTGTCACTGCCTTAAATAGAATTATTACAGCTTAATTTCCCCCCTTACCTCAGATTATGCAGTACTACCTGATCATGATGCATTTAATTCTCTTTATACTCACTCTATATTAGAGAATCAAAATTAAATCACAGGGGTAGCAATAGTCATGTGCAATACACTGGACACTGATCAGGTGTTTTTATTTAACACAGAAAACCACTGATGCTCAATAAATATGCTTCCATTTAAAGTGCAAGTTACTGAGAGGAAAACCTGGAAGCCATAAAATACCTTACCCTCCTCCAGGTTGTCCAAAAGGAGAAAAAGAACAAAGCTTTTGACTGGTTATCTTTACGATGCAGTTTAATCCGGATGCCACACACATGTGGGGCAAGATCATGAGGAAATAACATCATAAAGTATCAAGAAAGGGATAAAGGAAATAGGAGAAGTTGTGTTGTGGTTTCCTCACTTCCATGCATAGATGTGAGATTATTATGTGAACCTGTCTGCTCATGGTCATAGGAACAGGAGCCGTTTTAAGCTAACTCTGGGCTGGGGCCTGCTCTGGATGTAGTGGAGAGGCCAAATATGTATTGGATATATCATGTGGGCTGGATACTTTATGCACATCATCTCATTTAGGCCTTATAATAAATAACCGTGTAGGGTTAGGTGATTTTATCCCCATGTTGCAGCTGAGGAAACGCAGGTTGGGGGTGAAGGGCACTGCTCAAGATCATGAACTAGTGAGTGGGTTTAACAACCAGGTTAACTTCAAAACCAGCGCTCTTTTTGTGACCCCCATGGTCACAGGGAGGGGCGTTTGTCTCCTCTGTGGTTCACTATTCTGCAATCCTTTCTTTTATGGGTTGTGGCAACCACGAGAGAGCAGAAATAGAGAATCCAGGACCCAAGAGCAACAAAGTCAGAGCTGAGTGGCTGGGTGGGGTCTGCGTGCTGGCAGACTGCCAGACATAGGCCTCCTGGATCCTGCCTAGGCCGGAACAAAGATTTGATGGAGAGCAGACCTGTGGCCACTTTCTCTCCATGAGTCTAGAAAACCAGTGTTCTCTTTCTGGAGGAATCTGTTGAGCTGACTATAGAAAAAGCAAAAAGGATAAATTCTGGACTACAGTTTGAGACCCTAAATTCAAACCACAGCAAAATCAGGAAGCCAATCTGAAACTGGTAATTTCTAAGCACTTAGAAAAAGTGATGACTGCTCAGAGCTAGCAAGAGTTCATAGAGAAGAAGTCATTTCCCTATTTGGGAGAGTTTCCACATGAGCAGGCAAGTAACAGCAATGAAGGCAAAACCTTATCCAGGCATCAGACAAGATTTTACAAGATCACCTTAGCAATGAAGTGGGAAATGCATACTGGGCCAAGTTGCAGGCGAAAGCTGTCTGGGGCTGTGCACCTGCTCCAAAAGCTGTGTCCAGTTTGCTCTGGTGAAGGGGGCCTGAACCAAGCATGTCAAACTCAAAGGCTAACACGGGCCAAATAAACAAGGTTTAAGTTTCTGTGGGCCGCAAAAAACCAAAAGCTTCAATTTTCATAGAAACATAGGTTTATTTCCATAGAGATCTGCTGAATACAAAAGGCAGAAATAAATGAGTCATTCTTAACATAAAATAATAGAACATTTTAATAAAAATTAGTATTTTTTCTTGAACATTAACTTACCAATGAATAACTGCACAAATTAATAAGCATAACGCAAATAAACCTATTTTTCTTTGAAAGCAGAATATTTCCTGTTGTGCACACCAAACAAGTCAGTCCAAGAATAATGAATGACGTGGCAACTGGCTGCTAAAATATTCGCTGCTAGTATTAGTGGAGAGAAATGGTGTGCCTGCGCTTTTAAGGTGCATAGGGAAATGAATGCAACACGATTATGGTAACCAGTCATTATCGAATGTTGTAGTTCATTATTAATAATTATGTATAACAGGATAATGTAAAAATTAAGTTACAAAATTTTTATTAAAACATTTCTTACATACCATTATATTGCTGGGCTGCAAAAATATTCATTGTGGGCGCATGCGGCCCATGGGTCGTGAGTTTGACATGCTTGGCCTGAACTCAAGTCAGCAATCCAGGTGCTGGATGGGGATCTGGGCTATCCAGGTATAGGTTGCTAAGAGTATTCTAGCAATGGTTTTTCCAGAGGTTCTCTGAGGATTCATGTGTCAAGATCTCACCTGGTGGCCACTTGGTTAAAGACATCCACAGAGTCCCTTTCACCTAAAGTCCACATTCCTTACTTGGCATTTCAGATTCCAAGATCTAGCCTCCACCACTTCTCTGTGTTCTGCCAGTCCACCCCGACTCTCTGCCACACATCTGTCGTCTTTGGGACTTGCACATTCAGAAGGCCTCACAGAAGCCTGCTGCTGCATCTCTGCAGCGGGGGCAGTGGGAAGAACACTGGCATTTGGGTAACGGCCTGGGTTCATGCCCAATTCCCCCATGATTAGCTGTTTAAGTGACCACCTCTTCAAGCCTGTTTCCCTATCAATTAAGGTAGGGAGAAAATGGTCTCCTGACCATTGATCACTTTCTTTTTTTGTTAATTCTCACCTGATGATATTTTTCCATTGATTTTTAGAGAGAATGAAAGGAAGGTACAGAGACACAGAGAGAGAAACATCCATGTGTGAGAGACACATCTTTTGGTTGGCTCCCGCACATGCTCCAATCAAGACCAGGGATGGAGCCTGCAAGTGAGGTAGGTGCCCTTGACTAGAATCAAACCTAGGACCCTTCAGTCCACAGGACTATGCTCTATCCACTGAGCCACAACAGCTAGGGCAACTGAACACTTTCTATGTTCTAGTCCTTGTACTTAAACAACCTTCTTTAACCATTAGCTTATGCGGCGTTCTCTTGCACATGGTTGTTATTCTTGTGCTTAAAGTATTCCTTCTCATCTCAGCCTTTCCCCTTGTCCCATTTGATTCACAAGTTCTCAAGAGTAGGACTAGAAGTACCTTCATTTTTATAAAATCCTTCTATACTTTGAGATTTGCACATTAGAAGGTTCTTATGTTCTACCCTTTGGTAACTTGCCCGAGGTCACACAGGGACCACTTTTGCTCCCCTATTATGCTTGCATGTTGCATAGTTCCCAGCTCAACAAGTAATTTGTTGAATAAATGGAAGAAGCATGGGTTGGTGGTTATGAGCACAGATTCTCTGGGGCAAACTGTCTCTACTGGGTGTGTGACCTTGGAAAACTTAATCTCTCCAAGCCTCAGCTTCTTCATCTGAAAAATAGGGAGAGTAACAGTACCCACTTCGTAGGGTTGTTATGAAAGTTAAATGAGTTCGTGTAATGCAGTTAGAACACTACCTGACAAACAGTAAGGACTATATGAGTTTGTTAGACACAAAACAAACAGGTGCTACAGAGTCATTAATGACCAAGTATTAAACTCACAGAAAGTTTGATTTAAAAAAACAAAATACAAGTGGACTGTTGTTGAAATATAGGCCAATGCTCAAATTAAGTTGATTAGAAATAATAAACGTTGAAATAACAGAACACAGAATTCAAATTGAATTCAATCTCCTTTAGTAAATTTGTGACTACATGTTGGGAAAACAACTGCTTACAACTGGGAATACATCCAACATCTTAAGAGAAATTCAGTCTTGAATCCTTAATATATTCAAAGAAATGCTTTAGGTATGTCTGATGCTATTGACTAGTCCAGTGATGGCGAACCTTTTGAGCTCGGCGTGTCAGCATTTTGAAAAACCCTAACTTAACTCTGGTGCCGTGTCACATAGAATTTTTTTGATATTTGCAACCGCAGTAAAACAAAGACTTATATTTTTGATATTTATTTTATATATTTAAATGCCTTTTAACAAAGAAAAATCAACCAAAAAAATGAGTTCGCGTGTCACCTCTGACACGTGTGTCATAGGTCCGCCATCACTGGACTAGTCATATGTTGGGTTGAATCGTTTCTGTCAAAAATCAGCAAATAGAGAATAAAAATGCCAAGTGAACTTCTTCAAAACCACCCATACCTACTATACATCTTCATCCATCAAGCCTTTGAGAATCCTCTCTGTGAGTGTTGTGCAATGCCTCTGGTTAAAGGATAGTATTACAAATACAGAAAATCCAGACACCACACATTCTTGTAAGCCCGTATCTTATTCCCAAACAGTCTTTCAAGTAAAGGAGAGTAAAAAAATAGCTGATTCAACATTTTATCCTGTATGACTTTGTTTTACTACTTTATTAATGAAAATCTACAGATACAAGTTTTCACAGGACTAAAGACAGTTAAAAGTTTTGATATGTTATAGGGCCTCTGTCAGTTTTTAAGATTTCCTGTTGTTTCAGGAGGAAAAGGAAGCAGTAAACAAAGGAAGGAAAGGACAACTGCAGTTTGAAGAAAGGATGCTTATGAAAGGAGAAAAAGTTCAAAATTTGAGCTACTGCAGCAAACTAGGAAGACACTGTTAATTTCTATTTAAAGGTACTAAACAAATTGCTTTAGCTTGTTTAATTCAGTTTATATGCATGCAACAGCAAATGAAAATTCTGAGTTGTTTTAGTAAAAATACACCAACAGAAGGAAGATTTCTTTTCTTCAAGAAAAAAGAAGGTCATCTGTGGGGCCAGGTTTTCACCACCCTTAGCCGTGAGCTGATTCTGATTGAGAGAAAGGCTCTGTTTAAATATTTGCCCCTGGAGAGGCAGTGGGTTGGATTATGCCTCCGTGCACAGATGTGCTGGCTGGGGAGGCTGCAGTCAGTGGCTGGGACTGTGGGTCGGGGAATATGATGCCCGACTATACAGCGAAGGGAAATTCACACCATATGCCCCTCATGGTGGCAAAAGGGTCCCCTTTTCATGATCTGGTCCTCCCTACCTTCAGCCTCGTCTCTCTCTCCCATGTGCTGGAATGCGGTCTTTTCCACCTCCATCTCTACCCAAGCTGCTTTCTCTGCCCATAATGCTCCTAAACTGTGCCTGCCTAAGTCTTTCACATTCTGCAAGCTTTAGGTGTCACCTCCTTCAAGAAGCTTCACTCAACTGCCAGGTGGGAGACATCCCGCCTTTGCACCTAGTGCCACAATCACCTGCTACTGTGCACCTCTGGCCACCGACACCGTGCACTCCTTTGGGGCAGGGGAGAAAATTTAATCAACTTTATTTCCAACCACAGTGCCTGGCCTGGGGGAGATGCAGTAAATACCTGTGGGATGTTGAAAGGTGTCAACTCGATGTATAACATTCAAAGACATGGGCAGGAGTATTCATTCTGGACTTAAAACTGACCAAGTTCTTCCATAGAGAAATGACTGAGAATAAAGGCAAAGAAGGTACTGGAGGTCATTTGTGACCAAGGATCCTTTACCTATTAGTACCCCAAGTGATAGAAATCATATATAATATAATGTGTCCATGCATTCTGTGGTTACTGTGACTTTTGGGGACCAGGAATACTCTCTGACACTCACAGGGTCATGCCAGAGTCTTACCATGTGGCTAAAGCAGAGTTTGCAAGTACATCAAGTATCCGAAGTCCCCAATACAGCTGTCTGTGAAGCAGCACATTCTAGAAAACAGAGTACAGGCCCTGCCCTGATAAACCTCACAGCAAAGATAATGGCCACAAAGCCAGGGGCATTTCTGATGAGTCAAAGTTGACAGGAAAAGCCACTCAGTGGCTAAGAGTCAAGCAGATATTTACAGCAAGCCAAGTAGAAGATATATACCCTGAAAGAACATTATTCCACACACTACTTAAAAATATATAGGGAGTATATTCCTTCTTTCCCCAAAATAGAAATATTCTCCCCACCCCCAACATACTTGCTTTATAAGAAATTGTGGAAAGTGGAATTGCTGCACCAAGAGTATATATTTTTTTCCTGAGAAAAGGACACTTTTTTTTAATTTTAAAACAACAGCAATTATTGACCTTAAAATTTAAACAATATTTTTTTTAACACCATCTAATATCTAGTCAGTGTTAAGATTTCCCCAACCCATGAATATCATTTTCTAGTTGATTTGAATCAGGATTCAAATAAGGTCCATACATGATATTTGGTTTCTATGTCTTCAAACCTCCATTGAATCATACAGTTTCCTATTCCTCTTTCTTGCATGCTGCTTATTTGTTAAACAAATTGGGTCATTTGTCCTACAGAATTTATCCCATTTACTATATGACCAAAGCAATCTTGTGGAGTCTTTTTTTTTTTTAAGTTTGATATTTCTGTTATCAAGGTATAATTTGCACTTATATACTTATATACATAGCCCATGGACACAAACAATAGGGTGGTGAAGACCTGATTTGGTGGTGGGTAGGGGCTGAATGGAGGGGAGTAATGGATGAGAGACATCTGTAAATACTGTCAACAATTAAAATAAATAATTAAAATAAAAAAGGTATAATTGGCATACACTAAGTCACATTAAAAGGTATAATTTGGCAAGTTTTGATCTATGTATACACCTGTGAAATCAACACCACAATTGAGATAACGAATATATCCATCATCCCCCAAACTTTCCTTGGGCCACTTTGTAGTCCTTCCCTCCTGCCCCAGGTTGCTCCCCAACCCCTCAACTAGTAATCTTTTGCCGTCACTGTAGTTTGCAATTTCTAGAAATTTATATAAATGAAACTCACATAGTATATACTCTCTTTTGGTCTGGCTTCTTCTATTCAGCATAATTGAGATTCATCTGTGTTTTTGGTTCATTCTTTTTTTATTGCTGAGTACTACTCCGCTGTATGGATACAACACCATCTGTTTTATTTATTCACATCTTGGTGTACGCTTGCATTGTTGCCAGTTTGGGGTTATCATAATTAAAGCTGCTCTGAACATTCATGCACAAGTCTTTGCATGAGCATATGCTTTCATTTTGGGGGGAGGGGGTAAATAGGTATGGAGCAGCTGAATCTCATGGTAGGTAAATATTTAACTTGTAAGAAATTGCCAAGCTGTTTTCCACAGCCATTGCACCATTCACTTTCCTACCAGTAGTATAGGAGAATTTCATACAGCTAAGTTTTGGGGGCGGGGTCAGAAATTATGTGTGGATTTTTGACTGTGTGTATGTGTGTGTGTGTGGGGGGGGGATCAGTGCCACATAACCCCTTCATTGTTCAGTGGTCAACTGCAGAATGTTTGCTTACCCACTGAGGAATAGCAGAGTTTCTCAAGGGCACATGCTACCTCTTCATCTGGCTGTGCAGGTAAATGCTTTCTGGGTGCCCTGACGAAGACACAGGTTCTATAAAGTATTCAGTGTCTTTAGCATTTATGGGCAACATGAGATGGGAAGGGGTATGGGGGGACTCTGAAAAGGATTCCACTATATGGCCAGGGATATGTCACACGGCTAAGGAGTGTTAACCCTTGGAATATGATGGAAGAAATGTAAGTCACCAGCTATGCTGTGAATGAACAAACCAAGCAGTTTTAATAATGGTGATGATGACAGCCGCCAGCAAAGCCCCAGGAGGCCCAACCCGCCAGTACTGGTGTAGGCCCCTGACTGACCTGTTTGGTGCAGGTGGTCTCTGGCCACCTCAAACAAGCGCAGGTGCATGTTGGTGATGGGGTTGAAGGAGCCACAGGCCAGGAGCACCACGGGTATCCGGCTCTTCATCTTGTCAGGCACATCCACATCTGCTGCAGTGGCCACCCTGCCTAATGGGGACAAAAACACACGTTAGGGAGTTCACATGAAGATCAATGAGTGTCTCTAAACCATACACAGCACATTAGTTCTCACTTATTAGATGACTGAGGAGGCAATAATAATAATAATAATAATAACAACATTTATGGAGGACTCCCCATGGGCCAGGGACTGTGCTAAACACTACATCAAAGTATATCCCTCATCTCACCAAATCCTTTCAACAACCCCCAATGGTTACTTATACGGCACAGGAACCTGAGAAGCCACAGGGCCAGGACTGAAACCCAGAAAGACTGACCTCAGAGACCATGTTCTGCTCATAAGTACAATACCCTCCCTGGCCTCTGATGGGTCTCCCTGTGTCAAAAGGAGGTATGTAATGTCATCTTTAATAGTCCAAGTAGAACTCAGGTCCCAGAGTAGACCAGCACTTTCAAAAAAACGTATTTTAAAATAATTTCCAATTTACAAGAAAAGTTGCAAAACTTATGCAAAGAATTCCCATATACCCTTTACTAAGATTCCCCAAATATTAACATCTTACCACATTTGCTTTATCATTCATTCTCTCTTTCTACACACACACACACACACACATACACATGCATACATATATCTACCTACAAATAATTTTTCTTCTGAAATGATTGAGAGTAAAGTCTAGACATAATACCTCTTTATTTCTAAATACTTTAACAGCACTTCCCAACTGGTGGTCTGCAGACCACTGGTGGTCCGTGAGTTGCAAAAGGTTGGAGACCGCTGCTTTAGTATATGTTTTCTATGAACAAAGACGTTTTCTTATATAACTACAGAGCAATGATTAAAATCAGAAAATGAATATTGTTGCAGGGCTATGATCTATTTTACAGATCTTTTTTTATTTTACCTATCATTCATCTAGGCCCAAGCATTTTGAGAGGACCTAGCCCACCCTCTTGTCTCTGCATGCTATGGTTTTCAGCACTGGTGAGGTTAGAGGAAAGCAGAAAACAGCCTGGGCTCCAGGGCAGACTGGCAGACGTGGCTCTCCTACCTCTGAGATGCTGCCTCCTGGAGAGACAGTGAAGAGCTCCACTGGGGTTAGGCCTTGGTTTGACTCCTACTTCTACCTCTTACTGGCTGTGTGATGTAGGGTAAATCACAGTTCCTCTCTGAGCTTCAGTTTACTAAAATTCAAGATGGGGATAATATTACTTACCGTTATATAGTGGTTGTGAGGATAAATGAACTATATATGTTATGTGTCTGGTACCTAAGAAGTGTTTAATAGGTAATCTCTGTGGCTGTGGTGATGATAATGACAATGATAAAACAGATGTTGCTGCATGACAGGGGGGAAGCGAAGGAGAAAGGAGGTGGCAGTGGGCTTATGGGTGGCAGCTGCCAAATGGCTCCCAGTGATC